GTCTGGGGGAGGATCAGGTTGTCTGGGGGAGGATCAGGTTGTCTGAGTGAGGATCAGGTTGTCTGGGGGAGGATCAGGTCGTCTGGGGGAGGATGGGGTTGTCTGAGGGAGGATCAGGTCGTCTGGGGGAGGATCAGGTCGTCTGGGGGAGGATCAAGTTGTGTGGGGGAGGATGAGGTTGTCTGGGGGAGGATCAGGTTGTCTGGGGGAGGATCAGGTTGTCTGGGGGAGGATGAGGTTGTCTGAGGGAGGATCAGGTTGCCTGGGAGAGGATGAGGTCGTCTGGGGGAGGATCAGGTTGTCTGGGGGAGGATGAGGTCGTCTGGGGGAGGATCAGGTCGTGTGGGGGAGGATGAGGTTGTCTGGGGGAGGATCAGGTCGTCTGGGGGAGGATCAGGTCGTGTGGGGGAGGATCAGGTCGTCTGGGGGAGGATGAGGTTGTCTGGGGGAGGATCAGGTCGTCTGGGGGAGGATGAGGTTGTCTGGGGGAGGAAGAGGCTGCTCTCCTTCGAGATCCAGGGCTGGGCCCAGCACTGTGTGAGGGGTTTGCTGTCTCAGCCACACAGGGAAGACCCTGTTGCCAGTATTTTCTGGAATTGACAGAGGTTTGGCGGGTTCTGAGACTGCAGAGTCTCTGATCCATAGCTTCTAATCCAGAGCCTCTGATGCATAGAAGCATCCTGGAGAGTCCTATATGCAGCCTTCCTGTCCAAATATGCAAGAAATCCCAGGGCCTCGGGCTCCAACACGAGGGGGGGCGTGCGTCCTCCCCCCAGGCCCTTCCTGGGAGATTTGTCCACTGGCTTTGCAAAGCCTGCACAGGGAGACTCCCGACCACCAGAGGCCTGGCACTCGACCAGGAGGCTCGCGATCCTCCAAGACACGACCGCCTCCAGCCTAGATGCAGCGTGAAGTCACAGCTTGCGTGCGGTCCCTTTGCAATACCGCGGCTACAGGAAGGAGCCTGAGCGAGTGCAAAGCCCTCAGTTCAGAGCTCAGTGCTGCCAGGCCTCTCCCAAACCAATAAGGCCAGTCTTACCAAACAGCTCCCAGACTCCTGCCTGCCAGACACCCCTGGCCTGAGCCAGGGCAGGAGGCATGAAATGAGCTGTGGGCTCCAGGCCCGTGGTCCGGCGTGGGGAGGGGAGGGCTATGGATGGGCAAGGGTCAGCTGCAGCTGGCGTGGGAGACCAGGCCGTGAGGCCCAGCTCTGTGCAGGGCCGGCAGGGAGGGGTGCGGTGGTTGGCGCAGATTCCCCTTTAGGCCTGGCTGTTGGATGGGATCGGGGGACGGGGCACGTGCAGACAGTGGCCCTGCTGTCATGGGGGCCGTGGTCCTGGGGCAGAGGGGACGTAGCCATGGGGTGGGTGGAGTCAAAGGATCCATGGTCACAAAACACGCAAGAGAAATCAGTCTTGGCAGGGAACCCCAAAGGGGAGAAGGCTCGCACGCAGGCCCGGTAGACCGGCCGCAGCCTGTGCCCCCCCCCAGGGCATTGTCCCTGAAGAAGGCACGGGCGCCCCCCGACCCCCGACCCGAGGCAGGGCTGTCTGGGCCTCACCGGGTCCCGCCCCCAGGTGTGGCAGTGCGGCGGCAGCATGGAAGTGCTGCCCTGCTCACGTGTGGCACACATCGAGCGCAGCAAGAAGCCCTACAACAATGACATCGACTACTATGCCAAGCGCAACGCCCTGCGGGCCGCAGAGGTGTGGATGGACGACTTCAAGTCCCACGTGTACATGGCCTGGAACATCCCCATGACCGTAAGCCTGTGCCCAGCGGGGAGGGGCGGGGGGCACGGGGAGTCAAAGCCAGGGCCTCCCAGCCAGGAGGATGGGGCAGGAAAGGGCGGCCACCTCCACGCTGGGTGAAGCTGAGGGCAGCCGTGGCTGGCCATGGCCGAGGAGCCTCTCCTCGGCCCCCTGCAGGCAGCCACTCGGGGCCTGGGGCCTCAGAACAACCTCTTCATTTACTGTCCCACCTCAGCCATAGGGAGGGCCGTACAGCCTGACCCAGTGCGTGCACGCACATGTTGTTTGTTTGGTTTTTTGTTTTGTTTTGTTGTTGTTGGTTGTGGGGCTTGAACTCTGGGCCTGGGCGCTGTCCCTCAGCTCTTCAGCTCAAGGCAAGCGCTCTACCACTTGAGCCACAGCGCCACTTCCAGTTTTCTTGTGGTTCATTGGAGATAAGAGTCTCACGGACTTTCCTGCCTGGGCTGGCCTTGAACCGAGATCCTCAGATCTCAGCCTCCTGTGTAGCTGGGATGACAGGTGTGAGCCACTGGCCTGGTTTGGTTTTTGAAACAGACTCACTTTGGGAGCCCAGGCTTAAGTGCCACCCCTGTCCCCAGGCTGTAAGAAACCTGAGCCCGGGGAGAGGGGACAGGGCCTCACTGCAGGCCTCCTCACCCTTGGGTCCCATGATTCACCAGGAAGACGGGGCACTCAGCAAGGCCAGGTTGGGGCTCCTAGGGAAGGTGGCTCAGTGGTAGAGCGCTTGCCTTGCATGCATGAGGCCCTGGGTTCGATTCCTCAGCACCACATAAGCAGAAAAAGCCGGAAGTGGGGCTGAGGCTCAAATGGTAGAGCGCTAGCCTTGAGCTGAAGAGCTGATGGACAGCGCCCAGGCCCAGAGTTTAGGCCTCACGACCGGAAAAAAATAAAAAAATAAGTAAAGTAGCCAAGGGCAAGGTGGTAGCAGGCAGGCTCCCGGAGCAGCCAGGCGGGAGCTCCCAAGGCCCTCTCTCCTGGGATCTGACCACTTGGTTCTCCCAGGACTCTGCCCTGGCCCAGGGTCTGGAGTCCGCACTGGGACTCCGTGTGGGCGCAGTGATTGCCCATGAGATTGGTTCTCGGCCCCTCAAGATCAACCCAAGGAACGCAGGTCAGGAAGGAGACGCCAGCACTCAGGGCCCCTCAGGAGGGCAGCATGTGGACACACATAAGACGGGATCTGGACGCAGTCTGGGCGCCCCAGGCACCGGGGGCTGCAGTAGGGAGGAGACCCGGAGCTGCGCTGCGCAGCTCTCCACCCGTCCCTGCTTCTACCCCACAGAACCCCGGGGTGGACTTTGGGGACGTGTCTGAGAGGCTGGCCCTGCGCCAGAGGCTGAAGTGCCGCAGCTTCAAGTGGTACCTAGAGAACGTGTACCCCGAGATGAGGATCTACAACAACACCCTCACGTACGGAGAGGTACCGCCTGCACCAGAGAGCCTGCTGGGGTGGGTGGGCTTTCCTCCAAGAGGCAGACATCTGCACCCTCCAGACACGCACACTTGAACACCTGCACTCCAACACCCATACCCCAAACCAATACCCACCCCAGCACCACATCCCCACACCCCAGCACCCACCCCACCACACCCCAGCACCCACCCCATAACACCCATACAACACCCACCAGAACCCACACCCCAGCACCCACACCTACACCTGCATCCCCACACCTATACCCCAACACTCGTACCCCAACACCCACACCCCAATACCCACCTCAACACCACACCAAGATGCATATACATTATATATATATACATATATATATATATATATATATGCACAAATACAGGATTGTGTATAGACATGCGTTCAGATGTGCATGTCCATACATACACATGCACTCATCCTGAGTGCCAATCAAAGCATCTCCTGGCTGGGCACAAGGCCTCATCCCTGTAATCCCAGGGTACAGGTCATGGCACGTGAGCATGTGTGCACACAATCGTGCACTCACACTGTGTAGCCATGATTGTGTACCACAATACATGCAACCCATGTGCCCTCAGAAGCACATACATGGACACCTGTGACACACAGGAGGGCAGACACGCCAGCTATACAGACCCTTACGTGCCCACAGTGCCCACCTGCACAGCTTCACAGGGCTCCCTCCAAAGCCAGGGGGTGGCTACTGCTTTCCTGCACCCCTCAGGTCTATGCTGGTGGGAGGAGCCCCCCAACGGCAGTGGGCTGCGCCTCCTCTCCCCAGCACCCCTCTGCTCTGTCTCTGGGTAAGAGGTGCGCTCTGCCCTGGCCGGCACTTGGGACGGCCAGAAGGAAGGAAGCCTGGAGGGCAGTGCTCACAGACGGTCCCTGGGGCTCCTGGCCAACGCATCCACTCCTGTTCCCTCCATACAGGGCGTCCCCGGGAACCACCAAACGTGGACTGGAGCCAGGCTCGGTGCCAGCTCTGCCTGCCAAACCCCCAGCCTGAACTGTGAGCTGACTGCACAAGTGCACAGGCATGCACGCAGACTACACCAGCCACACGCATGCACAGACTACACCAGCCACACGCATGCACAGACTACACCAGCCACACACATGCACAGACTACACCAGCCACACACATGCATGCAGACTACACAAACCACACACATGCACAGACTACACCAGCCACACACATGCACAGACTACACCAGCCACACGCATGCACAGACTACACAAGTCCACACACATGCACAGACTACACCAGCCACACACATGCATGCAGACTACACAAGTCCACACGCATGCACAGACTACACCAGCCACACACATGCATGCAGACT